TGTTATTCCACTCCCCCGATCACGCCCCACCAGACCGCAATAACAGATCACCGACAGACAAACGCGTAGCAGCTTATTAAGTAATATTTCGTTTTTTTTTTTTTGTTTTTTTTCCCCCAATATGCAGCACACGTACACCATTTACCCATCGGTATGCCGCACGTGACCAACACGTCTGGAGAGCTTTGGAACTTGTAAATAATACACGCGCAGATACTTACTCCCATAAAATATGCCAGAACTCTATATACACCTGAAATGTATGCGAAACTTTTTTCTTATTTTTTCACTCGAAAATTTATATTTTTAATCCACAGCGCAGTAAAGTTCGTTGACCCACGAAGCGGTTAAAATCAAACGGATCAAAAAGATAAATTTATTTTTGGCCATCAGTAGCAACGCCGTACTCGCCGATCGATACAACGTCCATCATCGTTACCCAACGTAAATTTATCCGGCACAGGTAAGAATTGATATTAATTACACGTCAAAGGGAAGGGATTGTCGTGACGTTATAGTTTTGAATTATTAATCCGCGAATAAACAGGCGGTTCTACCAACGTATACATGTGTGTGTATCGAGCGAGTTTTTGCTCCGTCACTCCTGGGGCTACACGAAAAAAGAGAAAACAAAAGCTCTTTGTGTCGTTAATGTATTTATACTCTAGGCGAAACGATCGCGTTGGTAATGAAAAAAGACAAGGGTGCTCGTTGGACGCGACGAAAATTAAGCCGGTTGGATAAAGATTACGGGGGAAAAGTAGAGCAAACGCGCCTTTTCTTTCTTTTACATCACAATCACGCAGTCATTATTAATTTCCTGAACAGACCGCCGCTTCGACATCGTCTTGCAGATATATATACGAAAATGTGCCCATACATTAATATAGTAAAGCGAGAAAAAGTATATACTCACTCGGTGGATTCGACGGTGGGCGTCGTGGGCATGATCATGAGTATGCAGTTAACCAAAATGGTAGTAATGATGAAGAGAGAGAAAAGGGGATGGACCAGTATGTAGATGGCCACCCGCCTGATTGGATTAAAGGGATCGAGGAACCACAGGGCGTCCGTCGCGGAGAACCTGAATATGTCCTTGCCCTTGCTGATGACCACGAATGTCTGGAATGGATAAAGGCGCGGTATTAACAATTGAAGCTGTGGTGTGCATCATCTCTCGATTGACACCCAATTGGTGGTACACCTATGGTTTTATCAATCAATGCGAGCGTATCTCGGGTAAATTCGGCCTCAGATGTAAAAATAAAAATACGCAAACTACAATACTCTCCTTATATATTTAATACCAAGGTAGTAGCGTTGATCGATTGCTGTGAACCTTATATATGTATATATACATATGTACATATACAGTGACGACTCGCAAAAGTAACGTGTGTACGGCCAATTTGTGTGCTTCAAGGCTGATGAGAATTACACGCGCACCCCGTGTTTTTATTCGTATGGGTTTGCATGTACGCAGCGGACAATCAAAATGTATTTTCCAATGCATATACATATATACGACGCGAAAAGATGTTGGTTGAGATAAAGCTTTTGCATAAAACACGAAAATAGCTGCTGCTGCTGCTGCAGTAGCGACAACAACAACGTGTCGAAGGACACGGCAGAGTAAGTATAGACGTGTTATATGATTGGGTTGTGGTAGCGCAAGTGGAGCTTACCGTTTGATTATGGTAAAAAGAATCAATATCTTCAAGAGGTACGGAGGCCAGCTCGGGGGGAAAGTCGTTGTGCATTCGGACCGGGAGGGGACCTCCTTGCTCGAACATCGGGTCCGGCTGTGGACCCTCGTCCTCGTCGTCTTCGTCATATCGAATCTACGAGAGATACACACCCAAGTATTACTAATTTGTTTGCAGATTTTTTTTTTTTTTTTTTTTATAAGAAGCTTTTTTCATCAAAAGTCGTATAGTCGAGAGAAACGGGGACGAACACGAGATGCCGAGCTCGCTGTCTGCCGTATACACGCCTTTTTTTATCTTTGTTCAGTGTACGCAGTAGCCCTTTGCATGTGTGCGCTGTACCCGGCATTTTGTGAAAAGCTAAGGCTGGTAAAACACTCGAGGTCGAGCGGACAGCAAGAGATTTGGAATTTTTTTTTTTCCTTAGTTTGAAGAAAAAATATAGAAATTAGTATTATTAATATTTTTAATAGTTTGTCGAATTTTTTTATTATTTTTTTTTTAAATACACAACTGTCTCTTGTCGGACAACTTGATAGTACATTAAAATCTGTTCTATGTGAGAAGTTACTTTCAAAAAAATGAAAAACTACAGTATTGATCAAGTGATCAGGTACACGTCATTGCCACAGTA